ATGCTTTTGAACTGTGGTGTTGGAGAAGACTCTTGAGAGTCCCTTGGACTGCAAGGAGATCCAACCAGTCCATCCTAAAGGAGATCAGTCCTGGGTGTTCATTCGAAGGACTGATGTTGAAGCTGAAACTCCAATACTTTGGCCACCTGATGCGAAGAGCTGACTCATTTGAAAAGACCCTGATGCTGGGAAAGATTGAGGGCAGGAGGAGAAGGGGACAAGAGGATGAGATGGTTGGATGGCATCATCAACTCAATGGACATGGGTTTGGGTGGACTCCAGGAGTTGGTGATGGACAGGGAGGCCCGGTGTGCTGCTGTTCATGGGGTCACAAAGAGTCAGACACGACTGAGTGACTGAACTGAACTGAACTCACAGCAAATACTTACTGTCAGAGTTTGGCTTTCTGTGCAGAGAGCACACAAGCCCTTGTTTGGTTTAAAGGAAAGGACTGGGCAGATGAGGGACAGAGGTGTGAGAACCACTTCTGACTTGATATTTTACTAAACATTTTTGATTTTTCAATCCTGTGGATGCATGTCCCGTCAAAAAGAACGTGTGCTCAGACACTCAGTCGTGTCCAACTCAGGGATCAAACCCACATGCGACTTTTTGTGACCCCATGGACTGTAGCATGCCAGGCTCCTCTGTCCTTGGGATTCTCCAGGCAAGAATACCAGAGTGGGTTGCCATTTCCTTTTCCAGAGGGTCTTCCTGACCCAGGAATCAAAGCCACGTCTCTTACGTATCCTGCATTGGCAGGGGGATTCTTTACCACTAGTGCCACCTGGGAAGCCCATCAAAAAGAATAAAAGAAAATTGTTAATAAAAAGACAACTTTTGTAAAATACCATATTGCTGCTTTTCATAATGAGCTTCTTTGCATCCTTTTTATTCGGAATAGTCAGAACATACAACTATCTAAATTCTGGGAAATGTATCAGAAGCTATTCCAAAACTCAGAAATTTAACCAGAGGAAAAGAAAAACAAGTTATAACCCTTCCACCAAGAAACAAAGGTTTTTATACACCATGAGGGAATGTTTAAACACAATCTGTATCATTCTAATTCAACACAAGAGCATTCTCATAGCATCAAAAACCTTAAACAGTTCTAATGACTAATTATAGTCCACTGTAGGGATACCCCTTAATGGTCTCAACTATTTCCCCCACTGTGGGGCATTAGGATTACTGTCATTTTTGATTCTTCTAACTAATGCTATAGTGAATACCTGTTCACTTCTTTGTCAATATATCAGATTTTCTTAGCAGAATTTCTGAGAAGTAAATGTCTGAGGCAGATGGAATGAATATTTTTATAGTTTGTGAGACCATCTAGTTAATTCCCAAAAAGTTGTATTGATTCATATTTCCACAAACAGGTGGGAGAGCACCAGCTTCACTCCCCAGACAGCATTCGTCAGCTTCATTTTACCTACTTCATTAGTTGCAACAATGTACATCTTTTATTCATTTATGGTTTTTATAGGAATCTCCCAACTACAGATGGTACCCAAATTACCATGGTTCAGCTTTCCATTTTTCAACTCTAAAATGGCACAAAAGCAATGTGCATTCAGTAGAAACTGTACTTCAATTTTTGAATTTTGATCTCAATATGCAGTATGATCCTCCCGTGATGCTGAGTGGCAGCAGTGACAGCTCCCAGTCAGCCACACCATCAAGAGGGGCAACAACTGACACACTGACAACCATTCTGCAACCAGACAACCATTCTGTTTTTCACTTTCGGTACAGTATTAAATACATTGTGAAACCAAGCAGGACTCTGAAAGGGCCTCCTGGGTACAAGTCCCCCTGTGTTCCCTGTTCGTTTGTATAAAAAGCTTTCATCTCCTGGGCCTTCCTCAGATTTCAAAGAGAAGATCCAGTTAATGATTAAAGAAGTGGAAAATGCAGAAACAGAAAGCAGTCAAGCAAGGAAAGTAATAACAGCTTAAACAATAGTCACAGGACTCCTAGTTCCCCCTGAAGGGTACAGATAACAATCTGATCCATATCTTTGAGTTGTTCTGCAGAAACTAAGTGGAGGATGGTGAGTACATGCTGACCACAGAAGCACGTAGACCTCAGACTGGTTGGAACCAGAAGACTGATGACTGAGATTACCGAAACACCATCCTGTTACTTTACCACAACCAATCAGAAGACTGTCCACAAGCTGATTAGGCACCCTATGACCCTCACCCATAATGTTGGCTTTAAAAACCCTTGCCTAAAAGTCACCAGGGAGTTTGGGTCTTTTGAGCACAAGCTGCCCATTCTCCTTGCTTGGAGGCCTGCAAATAAAAGCTGTCCCCATCCTTCACCACAACCTGGCGTCAGTAGACTGGCTGTGCTGTGCATCAGGCAGGTGGACCCAAGTTTGGTTCAGTAACAATTTAATGAGATTTTCAACACTTTATTATGAGATAGGCTTTGTGTGAGATGGTTTTTCCAACTGTAAGCTAATGTAAGTGTTCTGAACACATTTAAGGCTAAACTGTGATGTTCAATAGGTTAGGTGTATTAAAAGCATTTTCAGCTTCCAATACTCAGGGCATAACCCCAGCATAAGTCAAGGAAGGTCTTTATTTCCCCACTGAGTTTATGGTTGGGTACAGTTTTGTAAAAAATATTCAAGTTTGTTATGAGACTGTGACTACTAGGGTGTAGATACTATACATTGCCTATTGAGTGTTTGTGGTGATATGGGGGTTCACTCTTTTGTTTGATCAATATGATGCATTAATCAATTTAATTCCTAGGATAAACACACTATCCAGTCATGACTGATTATCCCTTAAATGCTGTTAAATTAGACACTTTGACATTTTATTTAAGGTTTTTACATCTTTATTAATAACCAACATTAGTCTATAGCTTGGAGTTTTATTTTTTGTTGCATATGCCTTGTTGAGTTCTAA